ATTAAGCCAAAATGGGTTCCCAATTGTGCTGACGATTCTTCAGTACGAGGCGCGCGCGCTCGGTACAGGAACCACATCAACGCAATTGGGATCTCTTTATGGGCCGTTTTCAGTTAACCTCGAGAGAACAGGACCTTCCAAACCGAAAAAATTCCAAATAGCAAGAACATAAGTTTTTAGTACATGTCTCTCAATCAGGAGCATCAGCATGGGCTTGGCTTTCACATTATGTCTGGGTGGGCAGGGGGCTGCAAAAACCCACACGCAAACCCATAAAACTTTTAAAACCATGCTAAAGCCAGCATAACACACGCAGACAACCTGCATTTAACCACCATAAGTCCTGCAGCCCATCACCCCATCCATCAATGTCCCCATGAGGAAACCACCATAGAACTTGCGAACACTCATGATAGGCATGGTTCCAACATCCAACATTCAGGACCTCCATCAGGCCCGGCCCAGTGGACACAGGCAGCCAAGAAACCTTTCAGAAGGAGAAACGGGCCTCCAATGATGCTGATGATGCTGGCCAACATCATCAGCATCATTGGGGGTCCGTTTCTCCATTTTGGGCTTCCCCTGTGACTCTAGATTTTTCTCAGCCCTTCCCCAAAGCGGCCTCCTCAGGGCTAGCGTTCAAAACGGTCCGTACTCATGACACAAATGTTGGGGGGTTTGGGAGCCCCAAAAATCCTTCAAAAGTCCATCCGCGTCAAAAACACATGCAAAATTCAGAGTGGTTTTGGAATGGGGTCCCCCATTTTGGCTTAACTAGGACCAGGAGGGATTTTATTTAGGGCTTGATTAGGGTCAAGAAAGCCTTCAAAGGGGTGGGGCTGGGCGACGGGGCGACGGCCAGGCTGGACCGTGCCGCCAGGCCCCATATGCAAAGCAAGGTTAACCCCCCCAATAAGCAAAACCGGAATGGAAAGATTTACCCCCCATAAACAGAACCCAAACGGCAAAGTCAACCCCTCCTCAAACAAAACCCGACCGGCATGGTTAATCCCCCCTAAGCACCGGCGTTAACCCGCCCATAACCAAAACCAAAATGGCAAGGTTAGCTTCTCATAAGCAAAACCTCAGTGGCAAGGTTAACTCCCCAATGAGCAAAACAAAAGTGGCAAGGTTAGCCCCCCATGAGCAGCACTCCAATGGCAAGGCTAACCCCCCCATAAGCAAAACCTAAGTGGCAGGGTCAACCCCCCCATAAGCAAAACTTAACTGGTGGGGTTCATCGTCCCCCATAGCTAACACCCAAAAGGCAAAAAGGCAAGGTAAGCCCCCGCAAGCAAAACCCAAAACGGTAAGGCTAACCCCCCATAAGCAAAACCTAAGTGGCAAGGTTAGCCCCCCATAAGCAAAACCTAAGTGGCAAGGTTAGCCCGCCATAAGCAAAACCTCAGTGGCAAGGTTAACCCGCCATAAGCAAACCGAAATGGTAGGGTTGACCCCTGCATAACCAAAACCCATATCGCAAGGTTAGCCCCCCAGAAGCAAAACCCAAATGGCAAGGCTAACCCCCCCATAAGCAAAACCCAAAAGGCCAGACTTAACCCCCATCAGCAAAACCTAAGTGGCAAGGTTAACCCCCCCACAAGCAAAACCTAAACGCAAGTTTTACCCCGGCATAACCAGAACCCGGACGGCAAGTCTAACCCCTCGAAAGGAAAAAAAAACGACCGGCAAGGTTAACCGCCTAAAAGCACAACTCAGCTGCCACATTTCACGTATTGGACAAGCATTGCATAGGAGCCAAGAAAGTGCTGGACATATGGGCGTAACACACCCCTAAACCATGCAACATGCACATTTTATAGGGTCTGGCCTGGGCAATGCACGCCAAACCTGTCTCATGCTTGCTCAGTGGGCACAGGCAACCTAGAATCCTGGCAGAAGGAGAAACGGGACCCCAATGATGCTGATGATGCCGGCCAAGGGGGCCAGCATCATCGGCATCATTGGGGGTCCGTTTCTCCATTTTTGGTTACACAGGAGGACTAGGCCCCCCAATGATACTCATGATGCAACATCAGCGGCATTGCCAGAGATCCGTTTCGCTTTCAGCCCTACTCTACTGCTGTCATTCACCACTACTATTCCGACCATTCCTACTTCTATTCTATTGTGCCTCTACGATGGTGTACTTCTTGTCCTGTTAGTTACTGCACCTGTTGCCTTGTTAGTTGCTGCGCCTGTTACTGCTGTCATTACAGTCTCCTGCTGTTGACTACAAAGGCGGTAAGGCCGCCCCTGCCGCTAGGCCTAAAATGCCAGAATCAGAATGTGCCAGACTTCTGGGTGTGCAGCTGCAAGCGCTCGCAGCTCGCTGATCAGATTTACACGAGCGGCCTGAGAAAATTGAATGAAACGCCAGGCAGATTGCGTCCACAACGCACAGTTGACGCTCCCAAGCCTCTGCCGACGCTCCACCTCCTGAAATGCACAAACTAAGCTTGAGTCTCGGTCTGAGCTGCCTGATATTTGCCGACGCAAGCAGGCGCCTCGTGGCGTGCCATACACTCCATAATTGAAAGGCGAAGCCTGATGCATCTACACCAAGTCATCGTTGCGCCTATCAGCTTTTGGTAAAGCCAAGCAAGCCTGCTTCTGGTCTGAGGCTGCTGGGTTCGCGCAAATGTATCGAAACGCATAGAACCTGTTCCAGGGTAGTGATGGTCCAAGGTTCCTGCTCTCTGCCTGCTCCCCTAAAGGTGAGGACAAGGCTGCTCGTAGAAGTCAGCAACCGCATGTAGAGACTGGTTCACTGCTGCATATGGCGCCACAATCTGCAGGTAAGCAGACGCACAAAAGACATGTCTGGCAAAAACTGCTGCAATAGCACCTGCTCGAGGCAGCCAAGACCTGGAACCAAAGTGATTTGGCTAACGCGCCGAAACGCAAAAAGCCAAACACTGCTATCACTCACAGCTAACCTAAGAGCTACAATAAAAGTCATGCTTCAGTGAGATGGGTTGACTTTATGACCTCGGACGATGAACGCTATTAAATGTTTCTTACGCGCAGGACTCGACAGCGAGAATGGAAAATGAATGCACGGTGATCACTGGAATTCTGGAGTTCCAGAGGGCTCTGCACTGCCCTCATCTAGGCCCCACTGCTAAGGAATGCATGGAACATCTCTCAGACAACGCCCCAGGCACCACCCGAGCAACGCCCCGGCTCAAACAAATTGCGAGCCCGATTGCCGCAACGGAAGATAGCTTGCGCTTGAATCAGCCTACTATATTGCACTCCAAGATGACCTCCTGCACAGAGGAATTCCCAAATCCATGCTGAGATAGCGAGCTCCGAGAATTTTCACTGGCTATGGATTGCCGAGTGTTGCTGAGCAGGGCTTCAGTCAAGGGCAGCCCTCGGGCAACGGCGTTGAGTCGTGAAACCTACAGGCTTCGTTCTCACGACATAGAGTAGGTCGCGGTTTGCTGAAAGAGTATTCCATTGCTGGTGCTTCCAAAGTTTTGACGTGGTGTTCTTATTTGCTTTTGTGGTGCATTGCACATACAATCTCAACAAACTCCAAATAGGTGGATGAAGGATAGGAGGAAGGAAGTGAGTGAAGGGGAAGGGCTTGAAGGAGGTAGTCGCCAGCACACTTTTTTTTGATCCTATATTTGGAAATCTCCTGTATTCTGTCAACATCTATTTTGTTTTTTTTGGACATCCAGAAGTTTGCATCTTAATAACTCCTGCATTTGGGNNAGAGAGAAAGGGGGAGAGAGAGAGAGAGAGCGCCCGAAGTTGCATGGTGAGCTGAACAACTTCACTGGCACAGATCTGGCTCAGCCTTCGTGCAAGTTCAAGGCATAGGCACCGTCAAAATTGATATTCTGTACAACGACGGACCTAAGTGGATGTTGACAAATTTCTGTACTACAGGCAGTAACAAACAGCACTGCTGAACAAACGAGCATATTGCCGTGCCCCAGGCTGCCGAAGCGAGGAGAGCTTCAAAACGCAGCCGCCTAAAGCCTTGCACACAGCATGGACTGATCCACAAACCCGCGTCTCTGCAGCAGTGCTGCTGCTCGGACATAGCTGGAAAAAAATCTTGCCAAAGTCCAGAACGCATGTTATGAGAGGAAGCCAAATGTTGCGACTTGTCTTTGACGCAAGTACATCTCCCAAATGTTTGATGCATGAGCCCATCGACACATAGATACGAGTGATACAGAAACCGGCATTGTCCTCTTTTGGTGCTTGCTGTGTCTTGAAGCAACCTGTCGCTCTGGGGATGATGCCTGTCTTGCTTTGGCTGATGATTTGCCTGATTAGCTTTCAAGCGTTGGAATGCTCTGAGTGTAGCCTTGAAATTTCCGATGCGTCTTCCATATCCTGGGCATTCCCCGGCATCTGCCTTCATGTCTTGGAGATATGGCATGCTACTACCTTCCACGGAATTCTCGTCTACGCAGCAGCTTTTGGGAATGTTGTTGGGCTTGCCCATGCCTCCGTATGTGCATCGCGAAACCCACTTCCCGGCAAATGGTCATGCACACCGAGGAGCTGATACTGCAAGTTGAATCAATAGCAGCGATTGGTGGCCAGTAGGCCACACCTGCACACATCACAGCTGCACACACACTGCGCCAGCAAGAACATGTGTGAAGGCATGGCGCACCGCAACCATTCCTCAGTGAAGTTGACTCTCTGCCATGGCTGCTACTGGCAGGGGCTTCACGGTTTGAGCGCAGCGGCGGCGGCATGTCAAGCAATTTCTTGCCCAAGAAAGGTTTTACTTGTACTAGTGCAAACCCTTGTGTTGGAGGGGCATCCGTACCCGTTTCTATCTTCTAATTCTGACTGTAAGGTCTGTTCTTTTCCGTCGAAGTTTAACTGCCTGTACGAAAGGCAAGGATTAGCTTGGGATCACTTCCGTGAAGCCATCTATGCATGCGAGGCCGTACCTGTTTACGTAGATTTTCGTCTTTAGAGGTATGCATGTATGTATGCATGCATGCAGTCGCGTATTCATGATTCATGTATTCAAATATGGACAAGATGGACACCTGCCTGGATTTGCGCTTGACTTCAGGCTTGTGAGCAGGATATGAACTCTCGCTGAGATGAGTTCAAATTCTTCACTGATACCGCCTCCTCTGGAAAGTCCTGTAGGGTCGTAGAGGAACCGCAGTTCAATAGACAGAAACACCTGATTAGCCAAAATGTACCAGAGATCCTGCATGCATCAGCCTTCCATATCTTCAACCACAAGTGGACAAAGGACTTCTATCATCCTATCGCAAAAGGTCGAGCCTTCAGCTTTGCAGCCACCTGAGACTTCGTCCTCTTCAGAGGAGGTTGGCCATCTTCTTCTTCCTCCTTCTCTTCGCTCGGCTTTGAAACCTGCAACCAGCAACCTTCAAGCACGGCCGCATCACAGCAGCACGGCGCACTCTTCAACTGGTGCACCTGAAGGCTAGCTCTGCGCAGACAATTTCTCAATGCATGCCCACTCTTCAGACGGTGATGCTTCCCATTTGGGATATCTAAGGATGCCTCAGACGCTTAAGCTCATTATTGCGTACAGAGTCCCATGTCATGAAACTTCTGCATCCTGTTGATGCCGGTGAGATGCAGAAGCCCTGTATCAGGGTGCGCGATGATTGGCATGCTTGGATCCTCTTGGCTGTACGTCAGGTCTGTTGCTCGCGAGACAAATGTCTGCGGAAGGGCTATCACCTTGATCCCTCCACAAAGTCCAACTCGGTTCTGATCACTGCTTCCACTCCATTGACAACCCTTGCGGTCAAGGACAAAGTTCAGAAGCTGCTGACAAGATTGCTGGTCGCGAGGGACCGACAGAAGATCGTCTTCGAAAAGCTTCTGCACTCTGTCTGTGTATCTGTATAAGATAAACCCCACATTCAACACAAATCCCCACTTGTCTGCAATTTTCTTAGGGTCCCATTCTGTGCTGGAAGATGCTACGATGTCCGCATCAGGATGCTCCTGCAAGACCTGGGATAAATTTGAATCAGGTCTCCGTAGCCAGAGCGCATCCACATCAAGATGCAGCACAGATCTCTTCTGGCTAAGCTCGTTCCAAAGCATCTTGTGATAAATCTGAATGTAATTGCTCCTCGGAAACCCCGAATCAATCGAATGCTCGCTTCGGATCATTTGCCGGTGGCCGCCGTGAGGCTGCACAAGCCTCATCTCACCTCCTGGTGAGATCGATACGTCCATGTTCGCAGAGTCATCAATGACATTCGTGATACTCATACTGTCAACCTTGCTTTCAAGGTTCTGGCGCCACAGCTCAGCTTCAGCACAAGACGCCGAATCCATGCAGCCAATTTGCAAGGGGTGTGAGGAAGCACTCTTTTGAAACCATTGAAACCAGCACTTTGCCATTGGCAAGTAGTGACCATCAAAGATCAGAAAGTTGGTCCACCTGTCGGTCTCGAAGGCATAGCACGCACACGCCAAGAACGGCAGCAGCCTCAGGAACATAATAGCATCAGGCCGGGGTGTAAGGACAAAGGATCAACTAGACCAACATGAATCAACACTCGAGCCGAGGAATAGCATCGGAGTGAGAGACAGGGTACGAGGGAGAAATCATGCTCAATCTAAGTTGGTCCAGGTCAGCGATGGCAAGGCTGGTGCTAGGCTGTTAGACGTACTGTCACGCCACCCTTAACCATGACATATTATAAATGTCCATGGTATTCCAGGCCTCGCTGTCGAACTCTCGGTCAGTTGTGGATTCATCTGCCTCTGTATCGGCTTTGCCCTGGCGAATCTGGCTACCCGCTCCATAGCATCAGGAACCGTCCAAAAAGACACAGACCTGAAGTTGCCCTTCGTCCCGGTCTGCGACTAGGACGTTGGCATCCTGCCGTCCCGAGTGCATGATTGGACTACTGCAACATGTTTCAAGGCGATGAGCCTCGGCAACTTGCTGCAGATGACGGACCAGCAGCCAACGTCCAGCCACAGCGGTGAGGTCACCACCCTGGAATCAGGCACTCACAACGGCTGCTTCGCTCCGCTCACCTGGCGTAGGTCGCCACCTTGCCCTTTCAAACCCAAACCCAGAATCTGCAAATTGAAACCCCAAATCCCCATCTCCAGAACATCCCCCTCTGAGACCTTGAACTGAAAACCCCTCCTAACAAGTCATAACAAAGACCCACACCAGGCGATTCTGACCTCGCGACTACTATGGATTTGCAGGTGCAATTTTGCACGTCTTGTCTTGGCGGAGGTTTGCTAAGGCATTGCCACAATGCTGCTGCGGTTTTCCGAAGCTGACACCTTGATCGGTGTTCGGAGCACCTCTTGCACCTTAGGCTTGCTATCACTGACCTCACCCGAAAGAGAATGCAAAGGTCGTTGATGCCGAGCCAGCAGGAAAATGAGGCAGCTACAAGCTCCTGAAGCTTGTCCAACGAGGCTTGTAGAGCGACCTTTGTCAGCACACAAACACACATGACCAGCATGGTTGAAGACTTGCAAAATGCCAAGGAAGGTGCTGTTGGATCTTGCATCAATGATTTCACAAAGTCCTGCAAAAATTGTGACCAGCGAAAGTATCGACCGTGGGCGCAGTGTGTCCATCTGCGATTCGCAGCACTTCTCCAGCAGCTCCAGCAGGCAGGCCTCGTGAGAACCACGCCTTCTCTAGCCCTACGTAATACCAAAAGAGCCTAGCCAGGGAAAGAAAGCCATACCGTAGACGTCTAGAGCGGCAAGTGGAACACTTTCAGTTTCCACGGTCAGAAGCCCCAACCAGCAGGGCAACAACGCTCCCATGACGAACGCATAGCATGATACTTGGCGCAGGCAGCCACCAGTGTTACAACAGATTCGTACAGGGCAAGCGGTCGCAAGTTCGCACATGCTTTTTACAGCGAGGGGTGGCAAGCGATGAAGTGGTTTCAAATTGCCAGGTGGGTGCGGAGAACGAATCGGTGAAGTGGTCGCGCGGTACAGGACTTGCTCCAAATACCGGCACTCTCCATTTGCAGAGTTTTTTTGCCATGCCAACATGCTACCGCAGACATGTTGGTTGTTGATACTGCGTGTGCTACAGTGATATATTCCGGAGAACTCCCAGCCAGAGCACAGCTGGGGAAGCAAAGAGCTTGCAAAGACTGCTAGACTTGCTGGCAAGTGCTGCTGACAGACATCATGCAGTAGCATCTGCCTCAGACATGCCGTCTGCATACTCGCCATCTCCTGCACAAGTCAGCATGTGTTCCCCGGCTTTACTGACTCATGCGTAGATTCAATGAGAGTCATTGACTTGAAGGGAGTCCTGTCATGAATGAGGCCTTCACGAGTTCACGGACAAACTCGACAGGGTTGCTTTGAGGGTCCTTAAAGTGGGAAGATCTCGAGCTTGCATTCCCAGTAAGGATTGATTTTGTCAGGTCCCCACAGTCAGAGCAACTCCACGGAATTCAGCATCCACTGCAGCGACCTTTGAGCTTTCACTTCTGATACTCCCTTTTAGATGTTCAGCCCATTCTGAAACTGCACTCAAAAAGAGCTACAATCGCTGGCAGATGATGCCTCATGTAGGGCACGGATGAATGCTCCCTGTTTCACAGCTGTTCCAATCCTTTTTGCACTCACTGCGGCGTCTTGCTGGTGAGACTGGCCGCAACACACGCTTGCAAGTCCGCAGCTTCAGACATGTTGGCGAACTTGCACAGAGAATCACGAACCTCAGGGCCAAGAAACTCATAAAGCAACAGGCAGCATTCGCAGCATTTGTCATCATTACAAGAGACTGGCCTTGGCTAGCCTGGCTTCAGACCAGGCGGACTGCTGAGTCAGCGGTTTACCAGATTCTGACTCCAACCGCTCCAACAAAAGGCCCATCTCATCAAAGGCAGCAAGATCATCTAGGCAACCAATGGTGCGTTCACAGATCTTCCACCATTCCTGCCAGCTCCAGCCCACACGAGACCATCCCCAGTTAGAGTCCGGCCCTTTTGGATAGATGCTGAAGAGCATTTGTCGTAGCACGCCGCCAGTGTCTTGACCTCGCGCCATGGCAAACTCCACGGCGTCCTCAACGGCTTTTGTCTTGACACGATGGTTTTTTATGAGCTCAGCCAGGACCGATCCCAAACCACCCACTGGAGGTGCATTGTGCAAGCAAAAAGCAATGATCTCGGAAAGCACCTTGGACTGGCTGTCCACGGGTATGTTCATCTTTGCCCAAACATCAACCCAGTCTTTAGGCTTCTGCGCAGCCTGCTCCAGAACCAGAACCTGCAGGTAGCGATTCAAATCTTCCTGGTGAACTTTTCCGTCGTCAGACACGACTTTCTTCTCCTGGACCTCGCCCATTAGAGCATAAAGAGGGTCACTGCTGGAGAAGGTTTGCCAGGAGGATGCTTTGCGAATGGCTTTGCGATCAACGCTCTCTTCCTCTGCATCTCCAGCAGGGGAAACCGGCCGCTTCATGGCGTTGATCATCAGCTCAAGCTTACTTGTAAGGTTCTTTGCTTGCACGTGGTATGGTGTTGCTTCGCTGCTGGTATCCAGAACTTACGGAAGACGTCGATGTCCTTGAGCACAGCGTGTTGCTAATCATGCTAATCGTCAGTGCTGTGCTAGGGCATACAGCTGCATCAGCTCCATTGCAGAACTGCAAAAATGTCTCGGAAATCTCAGCACATGTTCTGCGAGGAGCCAGGAGCTCCCTGGATGCACCGTGTGGCGGCACCTCGGCGGCACCGAAGTGTCTCGCAGATTCAACGATCTTAATGGCAGCGCGCCGTTCTTGCTGCGTTGTTATCTTGCAGCTGCTTCTGGATTGCCTCAGATCTATGAAAGGTGAGACACAGGAGGGACTTGTGCAAGCCCAGTGTATAGTAATGCAAGCCAGGATCTGCAACGCAAGAGGCAGCAAGCTTCAGCAGAGGCATGACAGCCTGAATCCGCATCAAGTCACAAATAATACCGTCACAGCAAAGACGCCATCCCAGCCGGCCTCGCAACTCAGTCTATGCGTCTGAACTTGTCCATGAGCTCTAAAGCCTCGGATTCGAAATGATTTGAAGATGTTTGAAGGGAAGTGTGATGACGTGTCACTGCTAGGCTCCACACGCGGCGCATCCCACACTTCTGACCAAATGGACACCAGCTCCTCAGTAAATATCCCTTCACTCTGACAATGATTTGGGAACCTGAAACTTTCAGCCCAGTACCCAAGCGGCCGGTGGCATCGGGATGCCAGCGGCCTGGAAGAATTTATGGTGGCTCACACAAGTCTTTGGCGAGGCACTTTCGTTGTGCGAAGTTTAGTTATGAGCTGGCACCGGGTCCAAGCGCTCCATGTCCTTGCAACTGGCAGCAATGGCAAGCTGCCAAAATCATGCTCGTTCCTTTAAGTTGTGGATGTGTCGGTCCAATGCAGAGGAGGCACGCGCATCCCGCGAGAGGCAACGGAAGGCCAATGCACATGAATACTCTTATGGCTTATGGCATCCGACAGCATGGAGTTGAGTCTGATGCTGGCATTTTACACGCCCAGATCTTAGGAAAGTAGTTGGCATTAAACCACCTCAGATGAAGTTTATGATTTGGAAATCATCAGACGGTCCTTCTATCTCCTTTGCTCTTTTGCTGCCTCGCAGGCTTGAGCTTCTTTCGGGTTTTCCGCTGAGACCGTTCACTCCGGACTGTTGGACCCTGTTGGTCCCCCAGCCCACCTGCTAAGTCATGTTCTGAGGATTCTCTGGACTCGCTTTGTGCTGCCATTGCTGCCGGCTCCGCTGACACGTCCTCATATTTTGATTCAAGGACACATTAGGCAAGGTGCCGAACCCTGTCCTGCTCTCTTGGGAGCGCGAAGCACAACAGGATACACCTAGAGGCAAGCGCGGCCACGAGACGACAACACTGGCTCTGCAACCGGGCATGAGGCCAGCATTGCTCAATGTATCTCAAGACATTCCACTACATCAGGCAAGTAACTCGAGCTCGCGGGCAGCTTCACAACCATTGCAACCTGCGTCCCGGCAGTCTTTGAGTGACGTCATGGCCATCGGCTTGTCAGGCCACAACAGGCTCAAAACTGCGACAAAGCATGGAGTCGTGGAGCCACAAAGCCTGCGAAAGAGCCTTCGGAAACCACGAGGTGTTTCCGAGCCTGACGATCAACATGGATCGTTTGGATAGCCAGCAAGCCAGCTGAAAGCCTCCAACAAAAGCAGTGCGTGCGCGTCTGGATCGCGCCTCAGGATGCGGTCTTAAAGCAACAAACTATCAATCGAGAGTAGATGAGATTGAAGTACAGCACCAGCCTTTGGACGCACAACCAGCATGTTGCATTCGAGGACTCCTGTCAAAGTTGTGCTAATTTGAGACTTGCAATTGCTAGAAATCGCAGGCAAATCAACCTGCAGAATTGCCAGGATGGTGAAAATCAAAGGCCTCAGCACGAAGGCTTCTGTTCAGGTTGCCAAAGCTGCTGCAACCTGAGGCAACGTGTAGCAGAATCCAGGTTCTGGGCTGAACCAGGCGACTGGCAAAGACAATGTCCGAGCCAACGACGAGGTCAAAGGCTCCTGCACGGCAACAAAGGCCAACATGCTAGAGTCGACGCGCTGCGCGGCCTCTGCCCCGCACAGCTGCCAGGTCCGCCTCCTTACCCCACTCGAGTTCCATGGCCTGTCGAGTCTTGCTAGGTTGTGAAATACAGGGGGGTATCCCTCCTGGAGATATGAGATATGAGCAAGAAAGGCTGAAAGGATTTGAGATGCGTGACGTCAGTCACTGAGTCACAATGCTAGGCCTCTGCAGGTATGCCTCCTTCCAGACTCTTGTTAGCAGCCTGGCGACTCATCCATTAATCGAGTGGGCAGGCTAACATGCCGCGCCTCCACGTTCCGAACCAGGTTCCCCATTGCTACAGCCTGCTCTGTCAGCAAGACCTGTCCACAAAAAAAGAACAACTTCCCGCATGCCTTGTTCAGGCCCCGCCTCGCAGCCAAGCCGCGACAGCCCTAAACCCAGCAGGCCACATCCTGCCCCCAACCTCACAGGCTTCACAGGCTTCACAATCTCTTCCAGCATAAGATGCAGGCCACAAGAGAGAAAGCGCCAAACCAGTCTGCCCGGCATTCTCAGTGCTTGGCTCAACAACACGGAGGCGGCATCCTTTATCCTGGCGCATGCCTGTCACACAGCATGTGAGGTCGCTGCAACTTTGGACATATTATTGCGAGGCCCACCGGGAAGAATGGCTTGCTGCAAGTAACGCAGAAGGAAGAAAGCCGTCTCCCACACCTTGCGGAACTTTAAGGAACATCCATCTTGCAAACATGTCCAAGAAGTGTTAGCCCCACGTCGCCATTTAAGCCCAGAACAACTCCGCCACTGTGCTCTTGTGTGAGTCGGTCTTGGACAACCTGCGGAGGCACTGTCTGAGCGGGGACACCTGCCTTGAACAATTCTAATCCTTGAACAGCCTCCAAGTAGGATCCAGCCACGGCAACGCGTATTGCAGGCCGGCTTGCCAGCCTCACTCTCCAGAGATATCCAGAATGAGCACGCCTGATCCCGCAGCAAAGCCAACTCAGAGCAGCACTCAAAGAGCTTCTCGCTGCCACCACGCACGGCCACCTACCAGGCTTACGAAAGGCCATCAGCAGGCGCTGTGCAAGCACCCGGTAGCACAGCCAGCTAGTGGCACTGCCTCAATGTCAGCAGCAGGTCCCACGCGTCCACTCAAGACGCTCAACGATTTCTTGCCTGCACATTCTCTCTCAGCATGCCAAGCATGCAACATGGCTCAGTCTTGCGGAAGCCTTCTGACACTCCCGCTGAATTTCCAGCTTGAGATGAGGCCTGCTGGTGCGCATGCACGGCAAAAAAGCAATGAAATCTTCCCCAAGCGCCACCTTGCCAACGACCGCCCTTTGGCGTTGCTTTTTCCTCGCTCCCTGTCGAGGCATGCCCGGACGTCATCTTGCTTCGCAGCAGTTGTCCATTCGGATGCACTGTACTGTCTTTTGTCTGTGTGCTGTCTGCAGCGGGGGGTCGAGGAGGAGTGATTCGAGTGATCCTGTAACTTGACCAGCGTCTGTGGAGGTCAGAAGGCATGAAGGTACATCACATGACAAGACAGGTCGTGCTGCGTCAGATGCGTCTGTTCTGCCCTCGCTTGCACACACAACACAAGTTCAACCCAGCTGGAATGTGTACACTATGGCATTCACCAGCCAAATTAATTGTGTGCGTTTTGGGACTTCGATGCAGGCATGCCTGCACAATTGCTAGTGCTAAAGCCAAGGCCTTCCAACCAGTGCTCCAGCAGAAAAAAGGTACTTAAAAATGCCCAGAGTATTCGTAATACCTAGATTCACGCATTGCAATCGGCTCATGCCATTGGAGGAGTGCGGCCTACAGGATCCGATAGCTGAACTCCTACTTCGGACAACCGACAAAGGAATGTAACTAGGATTCCTGGTCTGCATCAGTCTACCGGGACATTGACACTTACAGCGAGTAGCGGGAGTAGTGGGAGCCTCAATCCGGCTGAAACTGCAAACCCCAAGTGCCATGTGGCAGGCCGGAATGCAGCACCAGCAAATGCAGCGCGCTTCTCTGCACTGTGCGGCCCACCGGAAAGTATTGAAAAATGCTGTGTTTGGAGATCTCTTACAGATGATGTGCAAAGCATTAACCACACATGACGATGCTTCTTGTAAATGCTAACCTGACAGATCAACTGAGGCAAGGGTGCAGTCATTTGGCTTCCGCTCGCCGTCGGCATCAGAATCGGACACCATTTCAGCCGAAGCATCGGAGTCAACACCTGCGCTTTTGTTCTTTCGTGCTCAGCCAATAGCGTGGCAGTCGCTTCTCAGGCAGCCACCCACACTTCTGTTGGGTCCAGCTGCAATCGCAGCTGCTCGTCTTGCGGCAGCTGATCGAACTGGCCGTCTCTCAAGCTGTCGGAATCCGACCTTTGCCTGGCGAGTTCAGAACTGCCGGGCCTTTGGCACAGCTTGCGCTTTAGCGGTTATTTGCATTGCTGGACTGCCAGCTGGCGGCCTGCTGGGACAGAGGTGTCTTTCGACCTTGGCAAAGGTCCCCCGTTCCACTGGATTGCGTTCAAGCAGGTGCCCATACAAGCAAGTGGGCACTGGCTTAGCTTGCAAAGGACTGATGTATCAAGCATGCCCTCAAGTACTACATGACAAAGGCAAAAGGCGACAGATGGCAATATTGCAACGGACTCCCCAGGCCTGGCAGCCGTGCAGCTGGCCGCACCGGGCGGCGGAGCGGTTTGTTGACAGGTCCTCTTTGCAGGAGACAGAACATTTTGTAGGTTAGCTCTTCGTTGCCTGCTGAAAACTCCCCGAACGCTCTCTTGAGGGCTCCTAGTGCCGGAGTTTTGCGACACTTTTGCCGTCTGGAGCGCACCTTCCACTCAGTTGGCAGCCAGAGAGGGTGAGTCACAGAAGCATCCTTTCAGAGAACAAAGACTGCGCCTGCTGACGCTGAAATCATCATGAACAAAGCTTTCACCCCCCGAGCATTCTGCTGCATTGCATTCCGTTACATTACCTCACAATATTGCATTGCAAAGCAGCCCATCAAACACCCGAGAAAAACACGGCCGCCTTGTTTGGGAATATGTTTTCATATGTCTTGAACTTGTGTTGCGTTGGATACTAGGATATGCACTGACTTGCTGGAATTCGGTGATGACAGTTGAAATGACCTTATCACAGATTTCTCGGCTTTGGCTTGGCCGGCTTCATGCAAGCAATTTGGTTTTGGTCTGGCTTGGCGGAAACTTGGACATGATTCCCTCACAAAGCATATCCAGCAGCTTGGGCAGGGATTGCAAAATCATTACGATCGCGCATCACCTTTCGCTAGAGGATCGGGCGCATCCCACTTGCCACATGCTACATTAGGAATTGCTTAGCCACACACACCCAGGATGCAGAAGGCACGAACTTTGACGCTGAGGTACTGGCTGCTTGCTTAGCGCGCTCTCCTGCAACTGTGATCGACACTAGGCAGGCTGGCACGCAAAATGTAGACTCGCAGACTGAGCCAACCTCAGATTTGGGTGCGCCTTGTTTCTGAGACTCCAGACGCCTCTGTCGGCGGCGCACCTGTCACATGTGCGAAAGGACCATCACGAGAACGTCAAACCTGCACCGATGTCAAGTGCTCTGGCACCTTCGCAGCGTCTGTAGTGTTGGCCTGCAGTGGCCGCCCCAACTTAATACATCCAACGACAACCAGAGAGCACAAGCCAGCTCTTCATTGCCAAAATCATGCCTGCCGAACAGGAGGGAAAACTGGTGAGGGTGACGGATCACCTGGAGCACCATTTTGTGCATTCCAACTGTCATTTTCTGACAGCTGAGAGAGGAACGTTGAGGCACCGGGTCGCACAGACGCCAGCTCCCATCCGGTAAGACCAAGACCTGCGCAAACGCTGCCCAACCCTGAAGCTGCGCCGCACACCAACAAACCGATCCTCTTCAATCTCCTCCGTCGTCTCCTTGAGCAGCATCTGAACAAAGGAGTCGACAATCAGATCAGGCGGCCTGTCGAGTGCAAGACTTCTTCCACTCATACATCAAAAAAGCATGCTCATCCTTTTTGTAACCTTCTCTCATTGTGTGGCCCAAGCCCTGTTGAAAAGCTTCGAAAGTTTGAGAACATCCGTAGGCATTCACTAAATCCTTCACGTTTTGACACCATCCACGAACACTGAACCTCACCTATTTCCAATGAACTGCTGCCAGCAGAAGCTTATTCTTCTCCGACCTTGAGTTCCCAACTTGAGGCCATAAGACAAGTTGCCTCTCATGGATGCCCAGCCCACATTTCCCCCTTGGCCTAGTTCTTACTTAAGCTGATTTGACTGCGGCTTGATAATGCTGAAACAGTCGCGCAAATGAGACACAAAATCATCAATGCAGTGCCGGCCTCAATTCACAGCTGCATGTGGGACAGCGCCAGCGGCTATTGAAGGCTTTCATCCGATAGTTGGAAATGAGATACGCATCCAAATCCAAACACCTGAGGATCTCAGCAAATCTGACAACACCTTGCAGCAGATCTGCTCAGCTCAGGAAGAGGCTGTAAATGTCTGCACCTTGCGCCTGCCATCTCTGCAGGATTCTGATGAAATTGCTTGAAACGGATTGCCAGGAGCGGCTGCCCTTGCCTCAAACCTCACTTCGCAAGCGAATTGTCCAACCCCCGTTTGCACCATTTGCGTTGCCACTGGATTAGGTGACAGATCGGGCATGGCTCCTGACGCTTGTACTGGTGGCCAGTCCAGCAAGTCAGGCGCCCCGCGTGCACAATGTGGTCAGTGCTTGGGTGGTGCTTAACCGGCGGTGTGTGAGCCTGCGGCCTTGCGGCTGTCAATCGACTGTCGCCATCAGTTGCTCTCAATGTATACGTTCAAGTGCTATTGCATCTATTGCTAAAGCTCAATTCTTGGATGCTGAATGCTTCCCGCTGCCCAAATCCCCAATCCCACGCCTCCTGTCACTCTGCAATTTGCAATTCAGAAAGTCGCTCAAAAATGTAGCTTGTAGAGTCATCTGTTATCATCTCGAGCAGCAACCTCTGCAAGTGGGGAAGCCCAGAAGCCTTCTCCTCCTTCATTTTCCTCTTCCTCTTCCTCTTCCTGCTCTTCACTGTACTACGCGCACTACTGCTACTAACATCACTACATGTAAACGGTGCTCCTGCATCCATGCATTGCTACCTGTGAATACTGATCCCTAGAAATTACTTTAAAAAAATACCAACTTTTTTGCGTTTCCCACATACTACTACACAACTACGTTTGACTGTAGAGCACTACGCATTTAACACGTCAGCACGTGAATCCTCTACTGATTCTCACCACCTGTTTGTCCTACTATTGACTATCATTTTATCCAATGAGCACGGTAGTCCTATCCGTAACAGTCGTGCTAACAATGACATCGAAAGTCACAGCGCAGTCACTCTCCCCACTAGATTGTTTTACCAAAGGCTTCCTGTCCCATTACGAATACTAAGAAAATTGAACAACGTATGAATGACAGTGCTACTTCTCTTGGAAGGATTGCCGCAACCCTGATTATCATTCAAGTGCTATCACACTGTACTACTGCATCACTCCGCTCATGCTCGCTCTTTTCTCACCTGCCGTGCCCATGATGTCTCAAGCCTCGTCGTACCTGAACACTTCTGGATATGCTTTGGATAAGCAGCAGGGAATCTGCTGTCCACCGGTAGATAGCATCTCCATCACTCCGGTGAATAACGGACGCCGGTCTACACCGGCTAACCTCCCACCGCACTAAATAAACTCCCCAAAGCACTAAAAAATCGAAGGCGAGAGTGACGAATCTCAGAGGCAGGCGCCAGAGCGGAGCCGGAAAACTGGCAGAGTAGCTCTGAAAGTTACGCATGCCATGGGTCCTGCCATCTTAGTCAGTCGGCTGACAGAGTCGGACCAATTGGATTTAGAGGGAATCCATTCCCAATAAATCCACGTTTGGAGCGAGAAAAGGGCAACGTGAATGAGGCTAGCCATGCGCTCCAAGTCGGGTGAGTCGCTGCGACCCCGAATAAGGCACATGAGTGCTGCGACATTGTCGATGTACCAAACACCCCTACCCCCCGAAAGCGTGAGGCTCGAACGGTGATGGCATAAAGAACCATGGAGAGCTCAAGCTGGGCAATCTTGTGACCACCTGGTGTAAACAGCAAGTAGACGGAGGGCGACACCTCCGCCACGAATGCCTTACTGAGGCTCTTGTGAAGCATGGGTTGCAAATGTGCGACCCCAAGCGACAGCTTCTTCACGGCTCTCGGTAAAGTATGCATCCCGAAGTCGCCCAGCAGCACGCACTGTGCTTTCAGCACGTTTGCACAGCACCGTCCCATTTGCAAGTTGCAAACGCAGGTGGGACTGCTCAGAGGCAGCGCACCCATCCGGATTCGGGTAATGTCGGAAGGCAGGCATTACGCACCGCCCGGCGGGCCAAGGTCCACACCAAGGGGTCTCGCTGCCGAACCTGCTCTAGCTCTAGGCACAGCATCTCCGCCTCAGTTTCCTCGACCCGAGGCTCTGGCGAGCGCTGCATCGGGGAACAATCCACGCCGGGCTTCTATTGGCAAGCCAGACAAGATCAATCGCCCTCCTGAACGCAAAGTCATCATAGTGGATGGGCGCCTGCCTGCTAAACTGTCAAAGACCCGTCTGCGACTTCTTCAAGGACCGGCACCTCTATCATCGGGTCCACTCCCGGATCGGCCACCTGCACGGTGGAACTGGCTCCCTGCCCTCTCCTGATCGCGCACCGAGGCTTCAGCAATGGTCTCTTCTTTGCACTGTCTTAGACGCAGGGACCAGATCTTCTACTGCACATTGATGAGCTACTGGGCACGCATCACCGTTCACGCAAGCTGCCCACATTGTACTGGGAAAAAAAAAGCCTGGCCCCGTCTCGCAGCATCGGCCCGGCTCTGCGACCGAATCTCCACCATTGCTTGATAAGCCAGCCTGCGGCCCAACTGCCGCAAGCGGACATTGGCAGACTCCGTAAGCTCGAGCCGCCGCTGTGGAACTCCACACAAAACTGCATGCTCGCTGTCGAAAGCGGTCTCGGCCTCCTGTTTGGCCTCGGCACACGCCAGCTCGACTGCCGACGGCCTCCCAAGAAGCACGATCGCGCAGATAGGAAGCTTGCAATATCTGCTGAAAGCACGCCGGGAACCTGCCTAGTGGACGGGCATCTTTGCCTGGCTGTCTGAAACACAGTCACCCCAATCCCCCAAGGCTGCAAGTTGAGGCACTGTTAAGTTCGCCAGGAGCCCCACAGTCGTCTCAAGACGCATCCAGAACCAGCGGGTGAGCAGCTGTGGGTCCTGCAGCACCAGCCTGAACTCATCCTGGGTTGCCATTACCGACCCAACACGCAACCAAGCATGGCCGCACAAGTCAAAAACAAGGCCGCAACTCTTCCGCCTAGCAGGCGGGAGTGGAGAATACTGTTCCAACCATGCAGTCGCCCAACAAAATTGGCTAGCAAAGGTCGAGGCAGCACACCAATAGAATCCTCTCGGGAGCAGTAGCAGTGAACAATGGAAGGAGCAATTTTCAAGGCCTTGGACAGGCGCAGGTGCTCACACCGAAGCACACCCATGCCAACCTGACCCAACAACGCCGTCCACCTGGATGTGGCCACAACGCGGTCCTCCAGGTGCGTCAAAATAGGGGGCTCCACCATTAAGGCTTGCCGCTTGCTTACGGATCGAGGCTGCTTGCACTCGAGCGCCTGCAAACTGCGGGTCGGCGCCGAAGTGCCTCTGTGGAGAAAGGCGGCCACGTCTACCTGCTCAACGTCCTCCAATCTCTGCCACCGCCGCCTGTTGCTTAATCCACCCGTCCGGTGGGGCCGGCTTATATTGTCTTGGCAACGGAGGTCTGGAAGCTGAGGCCGTCTGACTTCTGGCCACGGCTGCGGCATGAACCAATGCCAGCCCAGAGTCATCAGCCTCCTGGTTCCTAGCTTTGCGCCTCGTGACCTGCCATCTGGACGCCGTTCTCGAAATTGAAGAACGCAGGAAGGGGTGCGGCATGGTCGACTGCACTCGAAGCACACGAAGCGTACACAGGCCCCGCAGCGAAGCACCGCAACGACCTGCTCGGGGTACAGGGTCCGCGATTGCTGCTTCATAAGCAAGTTCACGCCAGCGCCTTCCACCTTGTTGCCAAAGGCGCCAAACATGCCGTAAGTCCTTGGCGGTGGCCAAACGAGCATGCTCGTGCTCAGAGATGACAAAGACCAGGCAGTTGACATGCGTCAGTAGCACGTCATCATCGATGGTGAGGCCGGACCAAGCATGCAAAACTTCGTTGTCTGACAGGCGGTCCTGAGAGGCTGAGACTTGAGCCCAAGCCTGAACAACTCCCAGTTCAACAAGTACCGCCCTCCTGGCATACGAGCCGATCCATGGAAACTGGAAAACCCCTCCACCTTCTTGGCAACGCCTGCAGTCCGTAGCAACACAGGCTATGATACGCACTGGTGCAAGGAAGCCTGGCCACTCGGGCAACCTGCCAAAATGCGTGGGGAAGTGCTGCACTTCACAAGCCGGCCACCAATGCAAGAAGACCTCACGCCCCTGACGAGACTCATGGAGACGGTGCAGCTTCGCACTCCAGTCCATGTAGGCCGCAGTGGCCAGCAGGGTCCTGTTGGTGTGCACAGCTCGTGCACGAAAGCCATAAGCATTGTAAGCCATATGGGGAACACCACCCCGAAAAGCAAAAGCTCAATCTGCCGT